CACCAGCACCTCAGGATGCGCCTTCAGAAAGGGGGGCCGCGAGTGTGCGTGAAAAGAGGCCTCAGTTGCCGCGGACAACAGCGGGCTGGATATGTCATACTGGCCGCGGACGCCAATTCTGTCACAGGCGTATGGGGCCCCCGACGTCGGGGCTGAGACGCGGCAACGCCCCAGAGCCAGAGCGACAGGCGCAAAGGTCGGTGGGGTAGAATGGAAAGGCGAGGAGCGAGTCCTGCGAGACGAGGCAACCCCCGTTTCTAAGCGCGATTCCTGATCCATGGCGCAATGGAATGGCGCCCCTGCTGAGGGTGCTCTCACCTTCCCGTCCGGTGCGACACTGAGCGCTCGGGCATCCCCCCAGGTGACGGGTCCCGCGCAGGCCAGCCGGGGCGATGTCGAATCCATCGCGCCCAGCGGGGCTCCGGTTCCGTCCCCACGCGACGCCCATCTCATGCTGGCTTCTGGGCGTCATCCCTGGGGGTCTGCCTTGTCAGGCGAGCTGACAAGGGATCCTGTTCGCGCGGTCGATGGTTGGTGCCAGCTTGGTTGGAAGATCTGTTTAGACGTCCGTTGACGTTCAGCTGTGGCGGGAGGCGTCAGGGAGAGGGACGCCACTGCCGGGCGTCGGGGGGACGACCTTGCGTGTGCGAGCGGCTGCTGGAAGTGTGTACTTGTGCACCGCGGGCTGCGCACGGCCCTCCCTGTACTTTGCGGCCGAACAGGCTCTCAGGCTGGGGCATGAGGTGATGCAGGGGAGGCAGTGGCGGAGGACGGGACGCGGACGCGGATCATGGCTAGTGGTTCGGGCCACCGGGACTGTGTTGTGAAGCTGCCGGTGCCTTTCACTGAAGGCGCTGAGCATCGGACAATGTGGCCCATTGAGGTTTGTCTCTATACCTGTCATTTCCGAGCATTGACAACAAGGACAACAAGGTGATGAGGGGGGTCTATCTGCACTGCAATTAAGGTCATGAAGGGCCCACAGGCCCTAAGGATCTAGGAGAGGCAAAGCACTTTCATGACTTTTGTGACTTCTTTCTGGACATCAAGGTTATCGCACATGTGGGCCCATTCGGGTGCATGGGAACTTCTGCGAACGCTCGATCAGACTTTGCGGCCACTGGTGGTATATCGCCCATCCCGCACGCCTGAGCCGCGTCTGAAATCGCTGAGAGACCCACGGGGCAAGATTGTTTCGCGCGGTTTAATGGAGCCCAATGGAGAGAATCCAACCGTGCTTTTTATCCATGATTCAACCGTGCGCATCGCAGGCCAATAATTGTCCACACAAAAAAATTGCAGTCCATAATGTTTACGTGCAAAATGCATGGAAAGTATCTATACATGATTCTAACGCTGTAGGCTTAGAATCGCGTTCACATTCTTATTGAACCGTCTGAATTCATGCTTCAAATATCAAAATTTTTCAATCCATTTTGGTGCCATTCCTGACCAGTGCGCATACTCATTTTCACAACGTCGTCATGGTCCAATATCTGGGGTGACGCCTTTGCAGCTGGTAGCGATTCTTTTCCCTTCAGACTCAGCAACATCACTGGCACTATGCCAGTGGCATAGGCTGGTGGCAGTGCCTCGTGCATATTTAACCTCACGGTCGCAGGGGTTGTGAGCTAGACCGTTGCGCTGATGCATCATTGCTGTACACCATATGGGGAAACAATGAGCGAAAAGCAACTGCGGCCGCAACAGCTTTCATTTGCACTTCAGAAATATAACACAGCGCCGGAATCTTACTGGCCGAACTTACTTTGTTTACGACATCTCGGCAAGAGTTGCATGTCTTGGATATACATATCCACGGCATGGCGCCCACATCCTGGATATGGCTATATCCTTCCACTATTTCGAAGATAAGGAGGTGTGTTGGATATGCACATCCAAGATGTGGTATTCACATCGTGTTACGTGTCCAAGATACGGGATTTTCCACGATGGAATGTACACAATATGCAGCAACGGACAAAAAATATGATAATTCTAGCAAGTTCGGGGCTCCTGACCTCAGAGTTGGCAATCAGCAATCCATGTCCTTCTCCTTCAGAAACGGCAAAAATTGTCGGGGATGCGCTCAAACTATGCGCACATCTTCATCTCGCAAGAAATCGGACAGTGTGATATATCAGGCGCCCACCACACGCGACTGCCTCCATATGCAGATATTCACATGTGGTTGCTGTTCACATGCACATTGCTGTAAGCATCCCAAGGACTCATTGCCGATTCTGCAATGTCAATGGCACGAGGAAAGAAAGAGGCAGACAACACGTGTTCAAATGTGTACAAAGTTTACGGGTTTGGGTTATTTTCGTGTGTTTAGCATGCAATATGTTGATGAAATGCATGTACATGTGCTCCAAAAAGTGCTATATTTTTCTTTTTGACAGTTTGGACGCCTGTTGCCTGGCTTCCAGGTATGAGCACACCATACTCGATTCCCTCCTCCTCCGCCACTGCGAGCGTCCGCTATCACGCAGGTGACATGAGAGGCCGCTGGACACGGATGTCGATAGTGCTTTGTTGTTGGCCTCAGGTGCGAGCACACACCCACGTGTTCTGAGGGATAAATCCCCCTCCAGGTCGCATCACATGCACGTCTCTGATAGATGTGCACATGATGAGGAGTACGTAAACGCGCGTCTCAGCTTCTGCCAGCGGTTGAGGGTCCCTTGCAAAGGACCCTTTTGCCGAGCGGACCCCTTTCCCCGCGAAGAGGCGCTGGCAATCCCGGCTACACCGTCGCCGGTGTACGTGGGCCGGGGCGGTGGGTCTGTTTGGTGGGCCCCGTGGCCACGCGATCCTGCCGCCCATGAAGTCTGGTGTGAATCATGGCCCCGTGAAACTGCAATGCAGCTGTACATTTCGCGCACCCCGCCGCCCTCAACTACGAGCGACGCGGCCCAGCTGTGAGCCCTCTCGCAAGACCCCATTCTGTCGCGGCACAGGTGAGGAGCACCGTTCCGGGGCACGCGGGGGCAGGGTCGCTGAGCAGAGCCATGAATGCGACTGCTCGTTGAGGGCGGCCTCGCCTGTTGCGTCCGAGTCGTTGCCGCTCCGTGGCTGTCGCAGAAAGCTCGCGTTGGACCTTCCTTCCCCTGACGACTTACGCCCCGTCGATGTCAGGAAGCGTCCACGGTCACGGCCTTGTGGAGATGGTGAACAAGTAGCTGCTTGCTCCTATTAGGAAGACCTCAAGCTTGGCTGCCGGCTTGCCATTGGGGGCGGTGCCTTCCGCGTTCCGGCCGCGGGCGACCTCCTCTCCAGCAGCTTGGCAAGCTCCTCCCAGGTGCGCTGTTCCAGCTTCTTCTGGCTCGCGTCGCAAAGAATGCCCCCTTTGTTTCGCGCGCCCCGCCATCTTGCCGGCCGCGCGCAATCGGATCCAGTGCACTATCTCTCACACACACCGCAGCGCCCAACGCGGCCCGCGATTCGTCACACACGCGCGCCGCAGAATTCTGGGCTCCTCCGGGCGCGCAAGCCGACGGTTTCATTCCTCGGAGTGCTTGCAGTCTGCGGTATCCAGGCGGGGGAATGCAGCAAGGACCCATCATTCCGCGCCCCGGAACCCGATTCGAATACACACGCCGCAAAGCAAGTCGCGCAGATTCACCACCGTCGCCCCACGCCTAGCCCAGCCTCCGACTTCCCCGACCACTCCTCAGCCCCCCTGCTCCTCCCTGCCCCTCGCTTGCGTCCGGACTCATCTCCGCGGTGCTAAACTGATCTGGAATTTTCCGAGGATGCTGGTGGGCCAGCAGGATCAATCAATTGCCTTTGAATGCCTTCCACCAGGCGCAGAGCGGGTGGGAAGGGCGGGAACGCGCTTCGCGGGCCGCTGCGTTTGCAGCGCCCAAGCGCGACGGCGTCCGAAGGCACAGCTTGACGTCCGCCGCCAACGAAAGCCGCGTCCACGGCCGCGGGCGGAGGCCGGGAACCTGCGATCTTAGATGCAAGGATTTATCCAGCGATTATACATGCAATTGCGGGCAATGTTCCGGGTGCTCACATTAGCGAATGGCAGTAATGTACCATGTGCACACCTCTGATACGGTGATGGAGATGCAGAGGCTTCCAGATTGGGCGGCTGGGCGTCAGGGTTTAGGGTATGTATGGGGTCCCCGTCTCCGCCTCCGTATCTGTGGTTCGTATCAAGAATACCCTCCAGGTACCCAAAACACCTCGCCGCTGGGAAATGCCGATGGTGTGACCGTCCCAACAATCCGGCGCAGACGTGTGTCAAACAAAGAGTAAACTACAGAGCTCACCAAGCGGTGGGGTACCGACAGCTGCAGATTCGCGACAAGGGAGCTGCAAGTTTTTCGCGACTTGGACTGTTGCATAGTCACCAGCAGAAAACAGTCTGTTTGCGATGCCAACTGCAATGCCATTTTGACACAAATTGAAGCCATCACATCCCTTTTTATGCCATCGCACTGACTGTGACGGCATAAATTTGTGTCAAAATGGCATCGCAGCTGGCATCGCAAACAGGCTGTTTTCTACCAGTGAGTGCGGTGGGTAAACATCAGGACCCCATGTATGTCACGGATTGAGCATTATTCACTGCACCTGTAAATTCTTACCCCAAATCTCCCCTTTTCAGAAACATTTGGAGACACACTGACACCGGGATTACGTGCTGGCGTTGCGCAACACCAGCTGCATGCAGTTGCACGCTTTCATCTGCATGTCGCAAGTATACTGGATGCGAGTGCCTTTTATGCGTTTGCCTGAAACACGACACTTGGGGTGCTGCTTTATCATCTGCCTTTTGGTTGCCATTCTTCGTAGGGACGTCAGGCCTGCATTTGCGAGCAGAGCTGACGCAGTGATGCAAAGAAATGGAGGCCTCTCGGCGCCCATACCATTCCTTGCGTCCACTGCTGCTTTGGGTTGTTCTGTGCTGCACGGCGGTCTCCCAAGGGGCGGCCCAGGGGTGGAGAGATGACCACATCACGGTCTGCACATCTCCTCTGCCGCCAATGGTGGTTTGCGACCCGGGAGAGGATCCAGCAACATTCGCAGGACATGACATTGCGCAGATGCGGCTTGTGGCGCGGCGCCTGGGGTGGGCCCCCGCCAACTACACTTTCAAATGCATCCAGTCATTCGGCTCCCTTATAGCGGACCTGAAGAACGGGTCGGAATGCAGCATGGCGGCGTCTGCCATAACGAGATCTGCGGAGAGGCAGAAGGAGGGCATTCAATTTTCGTACCCGACGTACAGGGCAAGTCTGGGAGTAATGGTAAACGCCCGCGTGAGGGAGGGGTCCCACTGGGGCTTCCTGACCCCGCTGCACTGGAGCGTGTGGCTGTCCACCACTTTGACAGCTTTGGCGGTGCCGCTGCTCGTGTTCGTCATCGAGAGCGTCGCGTGCCACGGGTTTGTGCACCACGGCGATTGGGTTCACGGCCTGAGGAACGCCACGTGGGATAGCTTGATAGCCCTGGTGAACTTTGGCCATTTTCAGGTGAAGTCCACAGCTGCGCGCATGGTGGTGCTTGGATACGGCTTCTTGGTTCTGATCATAATTCAAACGTATGTCGCTAATCTGGCTGCATTCCTGACCATCTCGCAAGTGGAGACCGCTTTCTCGAAGATTGAAGACTTGTACGGGCAGAGGGTCGCAACTGTCGAGGTGTACGAAACCCAGCTGAGGAGACAGGGCATCATTCCCATCATTATGGTGCAGGTGCGCACATGTATGCACTAGTAAAAAAAGGGCCAAATAACATGTGTTCAAAAGTATACAAAATGTACGGATTTGGGTTATTTTCGTGTGTTTTAGCATGCTAGTGACGTGCATTATCATAAGTTATTCTTTTTAGAGTGTGATTTGAGAAACTGCTTTCAATGTTACAGTGAATGAAGGGGTTGGTAGTCGCAATCCTTCAAAGTGGTGACTCCAACTTTTGCACAGATTTCCACAGTTGTTGAGGACAATTGGACGTGGTTGCTCATAATTTGAGTGGTTGATTGCAATCGACTATGATTAAGTAATGCTAAATTGAACAATATTGGAGTTAGCGTTTTATTGCTGGAAATATTGCGCCATTGAATTAATTCCATAGTGCAAATATCGGACGCTGGTCACTCGCACAGCACCGGATTGCTGCATGCAAATGATGACTGATATTTCCATTGCCTTCAGGACGATGATATCCTGAGCAGATTTGTTCGAGGACTCAGAAGCTCTCATTTCAAGGCTGTGGTTATGGACGAGCCATGGATGACCAACACGGTCAAAAACGGCAGTAGCTGCGACCTGCAGATGCTCCCGGAAACATTCATCCCGTTCGACTACGCTTTTGCATTCCCGCCGCGGGCTCCCAGGGAGTTTGTGGACATGTTGTCTCGCGAGCTGCTGCGGATGCAGGAGGATTTGAATTCAACCAGAATCGCCGATACATACATTAGATCTGCAAATGGCAGTTGCCCGGAGCGCAATTACATCAGCGACACGCAGGCGGTGACTATCGACAAGGTAACAGCTGTGTCCGCTCTGGAACCGCGGCAGGGCTGCCAGCATGTTGGATGGTTGGCCGCTCGGTAATTCACCAAACGAATCGAAGAATCGAAGAATTCTGATTGGCCAGAAATATAGTCGTTGCCTTCATTCCCTCGCCGCTCGGATGTCTGCCGCTGCAGGTTCGACTATCTACGGCAGAAAATCGAATGTTGCCGCTTGGCATGGAATCGATAAACAATACTGTGGTGCACGGTTTGCCGGCCGATGGCTAGTTGACCGACCGGCGGGACGGTCCATGTGTCCAGCCTTGCCAGCTCCAGTAGAAAACGCCATTTTGTTGGCACCGATTGCGATGCCATTTGACACCAATGACGGGCACTTTTATGCCATCGACTGTGACACTTAGAATCAAAACGGCATCGAACCTGGCGCTGCAAACATGCCATTTTCTTGTGGTGTACCCGACTGCAGTTCTGGCCACGCTGAGCGCCACCGACACCCCCGTAGTCGGCAACGCCACAGGACTAATGCGGCGCATCTCTGTGTCTCCCCCAGGTCGTCGGCCTTTGGATCATATTGGCCTTCTGCATAGCACTTGCGGCCGTCAATCTGTTTTGGAACCGCTTTTGCCGCGTCTCCAAGTCTCCGGGCGACTCCGCGGCCGTAGTGCAGTGCAAGCTGAGGCAGGCCTCCAGGTTGAAGCGCATGAAGCGCACCCCCACCACGTATCACCCGAACGCATCCGCGGAGCTCGAACGACCATCCTGCCATTGCCGCGAATTCATGCAGCGCGTGGGCGACGTCCAAGACGTGATAGCCACGCTGGCGGATGAGATTCAGCGCCTGGCGCAGGCACACCACGCGGTATCGATGCCGGTCGCTGGTATCGATATCGATATCGACACGGTATCGATATCGGCCCGGGCGGATGAGGCCGGAGAGGTTCCTTGCGCTCCCCTGCGCAGCGGCTCGTTTGTTGCACCGGGTGTCTGGGTGGAGCGGCCGGATGGCACAATTGTTGACATTGATGACGTCGTTGCCCATGTGCATGACTCGGCAAAATCGAGAACAGGGTAGAGAATGAGATGGCGGTGCAGGATGTACCAGGGGGATGGAAGCTCCCTGAAAATCCATACATCTACGTGGCGCTGAGGCATTGACATCCTCGAAAGGATGGCGCATCCACATCGTGGGGGCACATGGGAATTGATCGTGGGTGTTCATTTTCTTAATTAGAGCATGGCTAGCCAAGTAAACTAATTTCTAAATTGGATCGCAGTGCGAAAAACGCATTGGACATTCGGGAAGGACTTGCGGAGACTGGACCACCGCGCTGCAGTCCGGATGCGCTGCATTGCGCGCTGGATTGCCTGACAACCAACGTCCAAATTCGACGCGTGCCCTCTTTGCTGGTTGGAGAGCACGTAACTTGTGTCTGCTGGACACTGTCCGGCAGCAAGGAATGAAAGCAACGAGATAAAATCGGTGAAGAAATGCGACATTTGGTGCGAGAGCGTTTCCTCAGCGTTTGGAAGTACGCGGGGGGCTGGGTGCTACAAGTTCATTTGGTGGTGACCGTGCCGTTCGCTTGGAGATCGAGTTTGCGAGGAGAGTGGGGATTGCGAGTCCCTGCATGCTTGGCAAGCTTCTGCATGCTTGCGCATTGCTCGCGGTCAGCCTTTTGGCTGTGGAAGCAATGATGCTAGCGCGATGGCGTGTCCAATGCAAGCGCGAATGGTGGGCCTACGTCGAAGTTAGATTCGAATTCACTGCAAGGAGGAGAACAGATATTCCGAACTTAGAGGGATATCGTCTTCATTGTGCAATAGCTCATCGCTTACGTTCATGTGGATGAATAAGAGACACGATGTTGTAATACAGTCAAGAGAAGGTGACCGAACATATGCCTTGCTTTAGTTTGTGCTTTTGGTCTCCCGCCCTGTAAATGCTATTTTTGCTGGGAAACAGGTCACTACTGCGATCCATTCACTTAGCCAATCAGGGATCATCGATGACTTCCCACGATCCCTTGTTCCAACCGGCACATGAGGGCACTGTGTATCCCGAACTCTTGATGGCAGAAACCTTACAGCTTAATCAGGTACCTGGAGAATTTGCAAGATGTTCCCCTGCAATGCAGAAGCCTCCTCGAAGAGGCTGAAGCTTTGCAGACAATTCTGGGCATCCAACAAGAAATTGGTTGCCTTGCAAACAGTTGGATCAGCAGCCGACCGTGACCGACATTTAGCGTCTGCGGCTGGATGGCGGCCCAGGCCAGGGACCTGCATGCTCAGACGGCCAACGTCAACCTCGCGACCACTGCCAACTTGGGCCAGTTTGGATGAGCACAGTATGATGACGGGTAAGTATGTCGGGACGGTGACGCACACCGCTTCGGAAGAGTCCAATTGTCCTGGCGTATGTCCGAGCTCGGTGGAAGAGGATCCCTCAAGCTGACACGTATATTTTGCCAGTCTACTGTCACCTTTCGGGTTTTTTCATCCCTTCCAGTCTTTTCCAGATGAAAACAAGCAACGGCGGCCGTTTTTTCTTCGGCGTTCAAGGGCAATTGTGCGGCCTCCCTCCGTCATCAGAGGCTTCCCTGGGAGCCACAGTCCGCAGGGGTCCCGCCCTCAGCTCGGCCGCGACGTGTGCGACCCCTCCGCCTCTCCGCGGCGTCACGCACCGCTCCATGCGCAGGCCCGCCCCCGACTAAACCGCGCTTCTTGATCTCGCACCCACCGGATGCCTCGTCTCTCGCCTCTCGGCGTGTGACCACGCATCTCCACTGCCACGGTGGAAAATCAATCGGAGTGGCGCAGAGGGGGCGCATCTCGAGAGAACAGAGCGGTAATGCCGGCGCGGGCCTGATGCCTGTCGGGGGCCCGTCCGAGGGCGGCTTTTGCCGAAGCGCAAAATTGGTACAGGAAATGTGCGCGGAGAAGGGGCGTCTCCGCCGGGGCTTGTGTGCCCATCGCACACGGGCTCTCGTACTGCGGAGGCGACCGGTGAACGGGCAAAGGGAACAAAAATGGCGGCTGCAGTGTTCGCCTCCTGGGTCGCCAGGGACTCGGCTCAGGAGGGCGGGAGCGCCGTCCCAGATGGGCGTAATCTTTTCGAATCTCCTTCGCCAATGACTGCGTCCCAGGTGGTGTCGGAGATTCCCAATGCCTTGAGGATTCTTGGGAATTTGTTGGTTAGTTGTTGGCAAGGACCCAGTGCATTGTGTGACCCACGCCCGCCATCCTTGGCCGGTCTCAAGCATCTCGGATGAGCGTTGTAGTGCCGCCCTCTATCGACGCTGCGCAGGGGCGCAGGTGGTGCAGGCGCCGTGCGCACGGGTGGACACCCCTCTTGGCAGCCCGCCGCGGTTTGTTCTGAGCGCTGGTCATGTGTTCCCGGCCCCCCTCCACCCGGATGTTGTCAATAACTGCGCCGGGAACGGTTGCCGCTAAAGGAAGGGGACATGGTAGGATGTGTTACAAAGAGAGAAAGGAACGAACCACGCAAAGCGCAACCCTCCAACCAAGCATATTCACCCCTTGCGCATCAAAGAATTTACCGCTGCGCTTTAGGCTCCGCATTTTTTGGAGCAAGTTGCTTTTTTTTGTTGCTCTGCAAAATTTTGTTAAGTTTTAAACAGGGCCAAGCGTCACGTTGCTGTGCCGAAGGGCTTAATGTTTTTCAGTCAGCGAAGCATATGCGAGAGTTCTTAAAAAGGGGAGGGGTTCGACGGCCTTCGACGTCTGGAGGACGTGCGGGGAAGGGATTCGCGCCTTGTGGACGCGCTTGTGGCCGACCCGAGGCAACGGGCGCGGGCCTTGGGGACCATGGGGGCTCCTGCTGGCGGCCTCCGTCAGTTTCCATGATATCCGGCGAGTCGTCGTGTACCGTAATCTATTCAACCCTTCTGCATCAAGAAATTTTACCAGTACACTTGTCGCTCTGCATTTTTCTTTTCAGAGCGTGATTCATTTTTTACTGTTGTTCCACCAAGAATGCCAAGCATTGCGTTACTATGCAGACGGTTTCAACACAGTGCGGTGGTAACGTTGTGACTGACGAGAGGAAGGGGGAAGTGCAGGGCGGTGCTGACGATTCGACAAGGCCAAAGTAGTGCTCGGGTGACAATGGAAGCAATCGCTGCAGAAGTGAATGTGCCCAAGTAAATGGAAGCTATTGTAACAGAAGATCGCAATTCAATGATTGGATACAAAATTGTGTGCATAAATAAAATCATGTGAAGACAGTAAGTTTACGCAAAAAACTGCTAGTAACTGTAGAGTGAAAACGATGCCAATCATGGGCGCACTCTTTGACAAAAAATGTTGGATTCATGAGAGGCCTCCAGAGACAGCAGCTGCGCCTCAAGGGCATCTCATAGTTCTACTGCAAAAGAGGTCGAGGCGAACAGCGTGGTCTGCGATAGGCTTCGAGCTATAGAGTAGAGATTGATGCACTGAATGGATATCCCTTCTGTGCCGTATGAGCATTCTTCAGTGCAAAGTTGATGGACCTTTACGACTTTTCCTTGGTCTTGTGGACTTGAATCGTTCTGGGTGACCATGGCCACTTGTTGTGTACGTGTTCATTAGGGCTGATCAACAAACAGCAAGTAGGACAGCTGCACAGTCGATGCAAGGCACGATACAAAAGACAGATTGAAGGCCATCAAGCATACTTGTGGAACAAGGAGTGGCCATGAATATTGTTTGGATGTCTCTCTTGGCCCTGGCGTTCCAGCAGACGTCAGCGCAGAAATGGAAGACAAACAATTTCACCATCTGCGCTTCCCCATTGCCGCCTATGGCTGAGTGCCAACCAGGCAGCGATCCCGAAGGCTTCACAGGTCATGACATCGAACAAGTGCGTTATGTTACGAGGCTCATGGGCTGGACTTCAGCCAACTACTCCATAGTTTGTCTCGCGGCCTTCGATGACATAATCAATGACCTCACAGCAACGGATGGGGGTATGTGTGACATTGCAGCAGCTGGCATCACTAGATCGATGGAACGAGAGCGCATGGGGATTCAGTTCACATACCCAACTTACCGGGCGAGCCTGGGGGTCATGGTGCGGGCAAATGTGCGGGAGGGGTCGCACTGGGGTTTCTTGAGGCCCTTGCACTGGAGCGTCTGGATCGCCACCCCTTTGACAGCCCTGACGGTTGCCTTGATGGTTTTCGTCATTGAAAGCATCGCCTGCCACGGTTTCGTCCACAGGGCTGACTGGGTGCAGGGGCTAAAGAATGCCACCTGGGACAGCTTCATCTCCTTGGTAAATTTCGGCCACTTCGAGGTGCATTCTACGGCGGCCCGATTTGTGGTTATGGGGTATGGATTTTTGGTGTTGATCATCATCAACACGTATGTGGCGAACCTGGCGGCTTTCCTGACCATCACACAGGTGGACACCAGCGCCACGCAGATCGAGGACCTGTACGGGGAGGGTGTGGCCACGGTTGCAGTCTATGAGGAACAGCTCAAGAGCCAGGGCATCACTCCCGTGATCGTTGAACAGGTGGGGGATGACTCTCTGACATAGATTGTGCTCTCATTCCGAAATTTACCTCACCAAATGAAGGTTAGTATGGGTAGATTTCACTATTTGACAAAGGACGAAATGCAGTGTGTCATTGACTGATGTGCAGTGCATCAAATGAAGGTTAATATTGGTAAATTGTTCAACTTTGACAGTGGAAGAAATGCAGTGTGTCGTTGGTTGATATGCAGTCCATTAGTTTAGTGTATTTGAGAGGTGCTGAACTAATTGACGCCTGAAGGAATTTGTTGTACCTCTCTCTAGATGGGCTGACAAAGTAGTGGAGCAGTGGCAAGGCTACCATTAGGTTGCCACTCTATCACCATATTTGTACTGCTCATGTCCAAATTTGCAGCTGCACCTCAGTATCTGACAGTGACTGATAGGAGAAGGGCTCATGGTGTGTTATATTCTGGTGAATGTGTTGGTGTATTCAACATGGATGTGTGTCAGATTGTTCTGTTCAAGGTTTCCATCTGAAAAACAAAATGTGGCCCTCACACCTTGCATGCAGAGAGGGGCATGTTTTCATCCATTGATTTTTTCCTGCCCCCTGACCCATCTGCAATGCATACAGACAGCGGTCACAAGAATGCAAGGGGTTGAAATCCAAGGTTTGCTGATGTGCACTTATGTTATCGCAAAAAAAATTGTTCCACATGTCAAAAATAAGTGATGCACATCCTGGAATCGTGCAAGCTGATTTCATCGCCCCCGCGGGGATCCTCTTGCTAGTGCACTCTCGTTTGGCTCAGAGAAGGAATGTCAACAGGGCCTTGAGGATCTTAGAGACCCTGGGTTTCCACCAAACATGGCGCAGTGGACCGATTTCGCATTGTACGGATCGATGTGACCAGTTGCAGCCGCTTCAAAGTTAGGGCAATCAAGAATGTGTCCATGATCCTCAATTCAATCCAAACGATACTTACAGCAGTGATGGCATGGTATTGCACAAGCTGCTGTGAACCACTGTGTTGTCTCCAGCCTGATGAGTTGCTGGGTTCAACATAGAATCCTGATCAGGTTGCTGACTGACCACCAAAACCAGGGTAACAAGGATCTCAGTGTCGTAGTATGTCCATGTGGGTGGTCATTTCCTTGTGCCAATATGGGTGGACTTTGCGAGGAGGTTTTGTTCTGTTGTTTTATGATTTTGTGGCGCCAAATCACTGCATCCTCAGTGTTAAATTGGCACATTCCAAGGCCACAGAGGACCCATGCTAGCAAATATGCCCCTCTGCGGTGCTGTTCCAGACATGGACAAGTGTCAGCAAACTCTACTGCAGTTCGGATTCAACAGCAATTGACAGCAGAGAAGCTGTGCCCACAGGATGGCAGGGCCCAGGAAGCCCTGTTGGAGAGCCTCAGGACCAAGCGCTACAAGGCAGTGCTGATGGATGAGCCATGGGTGACCCACACCGTAAGCAGTGGGTTGAACTGTGACCTGCAGGCGCTGTCAGACACGCTTGTGCACTTTGACTACGCATTTGGCCTTCCCAGGCGGGCACCGCAGGACTTTGTGGACCAATTGTCAAAGATCCTTCTGCAAATGCAGGAAGATCTGGTGTCAGAAGAGCTGGTGGAGAGGTTCATAAGGTTCCCTAGCTCGGGCTGCCCGAAGGACAATGAGATCAGTGACACAAGGGCTGTTAAATTTCACCAGGTCAGTCTTCTACCACTCTGTGTGCTCTTCATGTTGCAACCACTGGGACATGACAAGATGTGAGCAAACCACCAAAAGCAAAAGCAATCCACATGTTCGACCCCTATTCCACCCTGCGACCACATGAAGGCAACACAACAGTTTGTGCATTGTTGCTGTTGCTGTCAATCTGACTGTGTGGAGCATCAGTGCCAGAAGAGTGTCTGTGGTATTAGTTCTCTGTACATTCCTACAACACAAAGCCCATGTTCTAAATGGGCTGAATGCTGTCACAGGACCTGCTGTGGGTGTGTGACTTGTTTGCGACCTCGGGGTTGTAACGTTCTGCTTGGGCTCCGTTGGTTTGGAATTCCCCACCATTGTGCAGAGACATGGGACATTGGCATTCAGTACCTGCAGTTTCTTTCATCTGGAGTCTGTTGTTTTCGTTTGGGAAACTGCCAGCCACTGCTGCTGCACCCACACAGCTGCAATGGCCACAATTGCACTCTCAATGTTCTTCCACTGCGTCTGTTCATGCCTGCTTTCTCAGAATATTGTGGCGCTCAGGTGCTTGGTTTGTGGGTAATCCTGGCCGGTTGCATTGCATTTGCATTCATAATACTGGTCGGGAACCTCTTCCGCCACATACCGGGCGCTATCAACGCCCGGGCCCTCGAAGGGCGCAGCTTCAGGCAAGGACTGAGCATGGGCCGCATGAACCCCATACCCACGCGCTACACCCCAAAGGCTTCAGCCCAACTGCGCAAATCCTCATGCCAATGCAAGGACCTCCGTCTGCAGCTCTCCGAGGTTTATGAAGCGGTTTCGAGCCTGGCTGCTGAGGTGCAGCGAATGGGAGGGCCGGTGGTCCCCATATGTGCGAGCGTTGCGGTGGAGCCGAATTCCCAACGCAGTGTCCCAACTGGAAGCCCTCTGGCGCCCTTTGACGGTTCTTCATCGCCAGCGTGCAGCCCCACAATGGACACGAGCAATGCCGCATCGGTGGCTGATGTGGCCCATGTGCGCAATGAAAATGGGCACAGTGTAGGCTGATACAGCTGGTGTTTGTGCGCTGCCTTGGTGGGAGTGCCGTTTAGGTTTGGCATGCCGGATGTAGCGGGCCGCCATTGTCTATGTTGCCCAGCTGCTTTGGCCTCCGAGCGTGGCTTGGTACTCATATGTCTGCTTGGGGCGGACTGCAGCACAACTCTTGCAGGGTCGTTTGAAGCGGCGCTGTTTTCAAAGCTTGTTTTGGCGTCGCTGTCCGGTGTTAGTTAGCTTTCGGACGTGGCGAGAAAAGTTTTGCATCCCTGCCTTTTAGAGGTGGCCTTCGGAAGAACCGAGTGTACAGATGGTGAGGCAAGCGGTGGCGATGACGGCGCGCTTGTGGGGCGAAATATTGTTGGATTGTTCTCAGTAAGTCTGGTTGGGTTTATTGCTGGAGTGTTTGACGCCTCCGCTCAATCTTGCGGCTTGGCGCCCAGGAAGGTTGATTTTCCAATAGTTGTAATTTAATGTACCATATTGTCGAGATTTGTAAGGTCTTGCGGGCGGAGCGGAGCGTGGCGTTTGGAAATCCTGTGCCACAACGGTGCCTGCAGCATGCATGATGTGCATGGCATCTAACCGTACCATCGATACTGCACATGTGATGATCATCACTACCTACGCAAAATAGCGAAGAAGGTACAATCTCACGCCGAATCTTCCGTTGAAAAGCTCCACTCACTTTCATGGTTTCTAGGATTTGTTGTGTGTCACTATAACTTGCTTTGACCTGCGCGACTTCTGAAAGCCACTTCTGAAGCTCGTACGCTTGTCAAGCGCGCCAAGAGCCGTGTATGCTCACGCCACAGTCCGTTGCAAGTGTGCAGTGCCACCTAGAAGCGATTGGACGCAACACACACATTCAGCGCGGCCGGTTCGCATGGATGCTGATAGCGGACACGAGCGAAGCAGTGCCCATGACTTGTTCATTCAAATCTAGTGCAATACATATAGTATCTTTTTACGCACATAGCACACTGGGGCTGCGCCGTTGGTTGGTATGGCTCAATTTGCTTTCCATTCACCATTATCAAGAATTCTTACGTATCAAGGAGAGGAGGCAGCCATCAGCTCCCTATTTCGCCCGAGCGAAGCAGTGTCCGTGAATTGTTTCATGAGAATCTAAGGCATTGCCACAATCCAACCATTGCTTTCCGTTCACATTCTCAACAGTGCCATTTCGCACAGTTTAAGTGCGGTACCAATGGCATCGAATGTGTGTTGTCGGTGCGGACTTGTCGTGTGCGCTGTGGCCGCCGTCAACGACGACCAGGTCAACGCCTTGTGTCTGACCCTCATCGCCTGCACTGCTCGAGCCATAGGCGTGCGAGTCCGGTTCCTTGCCCAAAGTACATAAAATCTAAAATTTGAGCAGCTGAGGCGCGATTCTTTTTTAATTATTCCAAATATTACATCACATTTCATGCTCCAAGTCTGAAACGCGACTGGGTGAGAGGGTGAGCGAGAAGAAGCGCTTTTGCACAAAGAGAATTACAGATGGATTAGCGGGATCGATTGAAATATAATAATAAACCCTAAGAAGGGGCGGGGTGGGGTTCGAGCCCCTTGCTGCTGATGTGCTTCAGAGACTCAGAATCTGTCTTTTCCATAATCATCATTTTTTTACAGAACAAGGCAATGAGATACCCGACAGCTTCCTACTTTGCCCGAGCAAAACCAGCCCTGTCTTTTCCCTTGGCGGGGTGTCGGCAAGAGCAAGCGGGAGAAATTCCGTCGCGGATGTCCGCTGGCGCCTGACCAACGTCGCTGTGCGTTCAGCCATCAAGAAATCCTGCACATCAGGGCGAGGAAGCAAGGGCGACCTCCCCATTTGCCTGAGGAAAGCAGCGCAATGCGCCTACTCACAGGCCAGGTCTGCGGTGTTGCATCTCGAGGCTAGGGGGCTCGAGGCTAGGGGGCAGCCGTTGGCTCCTTGCTCTTGCCCGCAGCGCGTATTCTTGGGTGTGGGATGCGTCAGAAGCCCCGCCAGTTGCGCGGCCAGATCCATAGCATGTGGCTGTGAGCAACGCTCCAGCGCCGGTGTGTAAGGCACCAACGGTAGGCGACGGCCCAGAGTGCGGTCAGGAGCTCAATCTGGGGACCGGGTTTCAACAAGCGACAGCGAGGCCGCACACAAGCTCGCCTTGTGTACATCGACCCCCCGCCAACAGCATCCAGGCATCGAGTCGTCTTCGTTTCACGAAGTTGCGAAATTTTACGCAAAGACTTGCAGACGACAGCATTGGGGAGACCAGGAAAGCGCGGTTGTGGTCAGCATGACATCATCGCCCACTGCTTCAGAAAGGAGAGGCTGGATGCACGGGGTATTTGGTGGAGGGGCTGGAGAGGTCGGAGGCGCGGCGGAAGATGTCAGTTTGCCATCGGGGGGCAGCGGCGTTGGGCCATATCGCATGGCCAAAACGGGACGATGTTTGGGTGAATCCGCGGCTGTATGCCTTCTCACCACTGGCGCGTCGATAGGAAGGAGGCAAAAATTGACAGAGAGGCTCGGAAGGGGAGGCTTTTGGCGCGAGCGTCAGTCGACAGAAGCAACTGGGGCCAAGAAGGGCAATCGCTCTGAGACATCATCGTCGGGAAACATCACACATCGAGGCCAAATGCAAGGGGGATCTGGAAGATCCGCGGCGCTATTGGCAGCCCCCAAATCCGCGAAAGAAAGGGGAAGCGCCCCTGCTGATGGCGAAGTGGATTCCGCATCCGAACCCTGTTCCCAGGCTGCACAAAAGGCGGCACCGCGGCAGGACCTTGCCCCCTCGAGCCCTGTCTGCTCAAGGCAGGCGGAGAGGACGGGAAAGAAGTTCGCCAACTTCGGCGAGTCGAGCGGCTCAACGGTGACGGAAGCGGCCTACGCCAGGGCAGAAGAGGAGCGGCGGGTCAAGGACCTTGAGGCCAAGGAATTCGTGCAGCGCCTGAAGCACATCAAGCAGGAGCTCGACGACGACGCTGAAGCGTCCAGGCAGCGTCGGCGGGAGTTGAACAGGCATATCAGCGAGTACAACAGACGGAAGTCTATCGATTCGAGGGCGAGGGCCGGTGGCGGTGAAGGGCCGCTGATGACGTCGTTTCATCCCGGCAGATTGTCCAAGGGGGAAGACCCCCAGGTGAAAAGGGAGCGCGCACGGACGTACAGAGAGGCTCTGGATCGGCAGGTTCAAGAGAAGTTGAGGCTGGAATTGGAAAGCGAGCGGGAGGAGGATGAGGAGCGGAGCCAGCAGCTGGAACGCCTGCGGGCTGCAGTCCTTGAGGACAGGCGACAAGATAAAATGAGAAAGCACACGTTGAAGCTGAAGCTGATGGGCGATTTGGAGTCTCAGATTGAGGACAATAAACGGTGTACAGAATAGAGCATGGAAGAGAGTGACGAGCACTGCGGGAAAAGGGGCCCGTCCGCGCGGTTTCCGAGCGGCTTTGATGGGTCCGAGCGCGACCGGGCGCGTCAGCACAGCGCACGGGCGTGTCCGAGCGGCCACTGACAAGCCTTCCGAGGCCTCGGACGGTTCCGCGCGTCCCATTCGAATGCATTTGGTTTCTCTCGTTCTCCGGTGCAGATATCCTTTAGCCTACAAAATTAAGGTGGCACTTATGTAAATGGTGTTGATTACAGCCAAGCGGCGTCGGAGTGTATTATCCCTCGTATCGAAATGTGCACGACACTTCATTTCGATTCATATTATATGTTTTTGCAACTTATAAAACATGCTGACTGCTTCCACAGTATGTGATTTGAACAAAAGGAAAATTTTCACACTGAGACATGTATGAGAAAGAAAGAAAGAAGCAATTAGGGCAATATATGTCGTGCTGCTGAAAGCAATAAAACTTTGAGACTTGCACAATCGCTGCGACGAAAGACTGTCCTTCTGATTCCAATGATCCTTTTGAGGATAAGAAAGCACAAAAGCCATCTGTGCGGCGAACCCACTTTTCGCACCACCGCTTCATCAGCGTTGATTCCCAGACCTCCAATCATCAAATACATATTGCCCCAATCATGCCATGCATCTTCCCATTGGGATTCCAATTTGACTTCCCAATGTGGACGGTCGAAGTTGGCAGTAATACAGGCAGTTCATGATTAATGGAGCAACTAGTCGCACCTCACTTCTTGAGCCTCAAACTCTTCCACAGTTTTTTCTCACAGATCATTCTGACCCATTTACACAAAAAATTGCGCGATACCATTCCACAACAAATCAACACGTCTGCAACTGCCCTGATGACGTGCGGCCGACTCTCGCAATTAGTTCAACTTGTATATGTTCTGATTTGTTCAATTGGTGCTTGGAGTGATCCGGTAGCCTCCATCGCCTTGGATATTGTGTGGCTGGACTGTGTATGGGGATGGCAATATTCCCGATGCCGACGCGCACGAGGCAAAGAAGCTCGTAAATCTTGCGACATTGAATCTGGCGAAAATTCAGCTCGTGCCTGGAAATGGCCTTTCTGGGGATGGTCGGTCGCTGAAATCGCATGAGTGTCGAGCGCCAGGTTTTGAAGATTGGCGGCCAGCCTTTACCTACATCAAAGATAACAAAACATGCCAACGGGGCTGTGATGCAACGAAGTGTGTGCACTCGCATAATCAGGTTTTGCGTTTGAGCTTGTCGAGTGATGCACAACATGTAATGTTCTCAAACATGCTTTGGAAATTGTGATGGCTCGCTTCCATGAATTTCTCATCGCATCACTGTGTCCACCACCATTATGAAGCCACTGGTTTGATAAATTAATGGACCAAAAACAGAACATTTACTTCAGTAATGCACAGATGGCTTTACAAAAGGACTATGCAGCCAATGGCTCAATGCGTTTACCTTGGCGCTGAGTCTCATCTTGTCCATGGATCCCACCCTCGCGCATCCAGAGATGTCCAAATCTGTCAAGACCGGCAGCCTCAGCAGCGCTGTCACAGCATCGTGTCCCAGGGAGGTGGCCCCGCACAGTGACAGGCCGTACCTCCGGTCCTCTAGGCAAAAGAGAGAAAT